GATTGTAAAAATTACAGATGATTCTGAGGACTCTAAAGACAATCTTATTTACATTAAGAAAAATCCTTCTTAAGTTACTAACACCACCAGAGGTTGAGTCAGCTTTCCCTTGTCACTTTCCAGAGCCACCATCTGCTTGGGCATCTCAATGTGTCCTTATTTTTTTAGATGTTGGCACCTGACTCCCAGTGAGATTAGTTTACATAAGATATATTATATCTGATGTGGGAGTTTAATTTTCCCCTAACTTATTTTATAACTCACTACTTATATCAGTGTCAGAAAACATTGTCCAACTCTCAGAACCCCCATTCCATCAGGATGAATTTTTGAGAGTCAAATTTCCGATTGCAGTCAGACAGAAGAGGCTTGGACATGTGACATTAGAGACCTATGTTTGTTCTGCCAGTTGAGACTTATTTCTTCTAGTTAAAGTAATGACTTGGAGGTTATGTTAAGGGCACTTGGGAGCAGTGTTAGAGAGTTAATTTTGAGTGTGATTTGCCCATTTGGGCTTAATTCTGGCATCTGATTTTGGGGGGACAATCTGTCATTCATTGGTGATCTTCGCCTGACTCCTTAACTGAGCTGCTAAACCATCTGTGGATGCCTGGGGACTGGACCATCAAATGCCCATCCCTGGTCCACAGGAAGCTCAGAGAAACAATGCTGCCTTTTTTGATTAACCTGTAGCAACAACTGACACATTAATTCCTACAGATCAAGTGTTTCATCTATTTTTGATGTTTTTAGAAGACCACTCTAAAACGGGCCACTAAAAACGGGCCACTCATTCTTTGGTTTTTCCTGACCTGCATGCGCAGCAGGTTGTAAAGGCTGGTGTGTGCTGGCATGAATGTGGAGTGGGTTATCCAAAGGGGGATCGGTTTACCCAGAAGTTGGGAATCATTTTTCTCTAGACTCAACATGGATATGTATTTTCTAATCTAACTCTTTAGATATAGAAATGAGGTTCTTTAGATACTTCTATGAGTATATGATATTGTATGTATAAAATAAATTTGACAAGTTGTATTTCTTTACCAGTATTTACTGATAACATTTCTATCCTAAGTGTGTATGCCAAGAAAACATTTGCCAGTTTGATAATCAACACAGATTAAGTCCCGATTCCATAGGCTGTGCTCAAGGAAAGTTAGTTAGGAATCGTTTTTGGCTGCAGGGAACAGTGACACAAAGAACAGTGCCCTAAATTGCTAGGATGACAATGTGGGGTTAATACTGTGACTTCTTGCTCTGCCTCTTTTCCATTCTTGAGATCCACCTCATGGTCACAAAGTAGCCACTGAACTTCAGGCATGACTTCTACATTCCAGGAAAGAAGACAGAGGAAGGCATCCTAGTCAGCCACCTTTTTAAGCAGCATTCCAAACCTCCCCCCCCCCCATCACTTATTTCATACAATTGGCCAGAATTGAGTCACTTGGCTACCTTATCTGGCAAGGAGGATGGGGAATGTGGTTTTCCATTGCTAACTCATGCCCTATTCCCAAAAAAAGAAAAGGCCATTGTATTGTAAAGAAGAAGGGAAAAATAGGTATTGGTAAGCACCCAACAGTTTCTGCCACCAGTGCCTTTCACTACCTGCCTGCCTGGCTTTTCATCTCATCTGCTGCTGTGAGCACTCACCTCTGGCTCCACCAGAACACGTGGCACTCCCTGAGCGCCCCCCATCATCCTCCCCACACTGCTCCTGTTCCCTATTCTGAAGGGCTTTATCTCCTTCCCGCTGTCCTGTCTGGGCCTCTCACCTCTAAGGCACTGCTGAGATGACGTTTCCTCCGGGTCGCCTTCCCAGGCCCTTTCCCCTTCCCCCTTCCCCCTTCCCCCTTTCCTCCCATCTCTTTGTCACAGCCCTTGTTAAGTTGGGGCCAATACAGTGTAGTTTCACAGTTAATGTTTCATATCCTTCATGACTCTCATCCTCCCCCCGCTTGCCTAGTATAATAATTGGATATAATAAATGTTCAATAGATGTTTATTGATTTCCATTGCAGACCTAATGCCAGAAAGATAATAGGAGAAAGTCCTTTGGTGCAACATTTTTCAAAGGGTTTTCTTTTTGTAAGAGAAAAAAATTGGTTATGTCAGCATTATGAGCATCCTGTCCCATTTAACAGCCTTTGGCTAGTATACACTGGGTTGTCGGTAACTTCAGTGGATAGTCTGTTGGGCAGAAGTGCAAACAGCAGTTTGTTTGGAAACGCTGACTCCCTAAACCTGTAAGAAACAGGAAGAGTCTGGGCCTTTTGGAATGTGTGCATTCGGTGTGCCCGAGACCAGGCGCCCTACCGAGAACAAACACCAGAAAGGGAGGGGATAGTAAAAACTCCTCTTCCTATAAAGCCCCGGAAGGCACCGCCAATGGTGGTCACCAAGCTGGTCTGGGGTCGAAAGGCAGTCTGGCCTGGGGGCTCAAGGTGAATTGTTTCATACAGTGTCTTCTAAATAAACGTTTCCATGTTTTTAAGTGGTACTTTCTAAACTACTTTTTCATGTTTTTAGAGGTATTTTGAAATTCCAGTTACTTGGGGCATTTATTACCTTGACTTGCCTTTAATGATTTGCGATGTGTACTTTTTCTTTTTAAATACAGTGCCCTGGGCCCCTTAGGGACACGTGATCCCTTCAGGCTCTATTCATATATAATTGTTAAGATTTATGGAACATCTTTTTTTTTTAAGATTAAAAAAATTTCTTTTTAACTTGCCTTTCTTGGTGATGGGGCCTGGAAATTAACTAAAGAATGACTTATTTCTGGGACTTCTTTTTAAAATCTGCGTGAAACCATCTACCAGGTGTCCAATTGACTGAAAAATAATATTGGAAGGCCCTCCTAGAAACTCATTTCTTACAGATCTGAACAAAATTGCTTCTCTTTGAATTTCACACCGTGTCTAAAATCAGATTTTATGAATTTTCCGAGTATATTTCTCTACCATTTACACTTTACACTCTGCTCATCCTTCTTTCTGCGGGTGTTTTAATTAAACACCTACTGAGCAGCTCTGTCTAAGGATCAGTAGTGGTGCAGGGTCTGTTGGGGTGACAAACACGGGCAGAGAGCCCTGAAAGTAAAATTGGCAGATAAGCCCAGTGGAGCGCCAGGTGAGGGAAGGGTGGTGAGAGCTGAGTGAGGAAATGTAGAAAAATAACATGCACATCCGTTTCATAGGAGGTTAGAGTTTCAAAGGAAACGCTGTTTGAGAATTGTTGGAGAGGAAGCAGGGAGCACACCCAGACCAGAGAACGCATGGGCTAATACAGGAGGGAGCAGGTGTCAGGGACTGGGGACTCGGTCTTGGGGACCTTGTTCTTCTTGGTCTTGAGGACCCGTCTGCTCTTCACTCTGTGGTGACTGGAGCCCATCTCTTCCTGTCGCAAACACAAATCGTGCCTTCCTCACGTCAGCTAGACTCTTTCCAGTCCATCCTACATATTGTCACCATGCTAATATTCTCAGAGTTTTGATTTTTACCAGGTAATCCTCCTGATGATGATAAACTTCCAGAAACTTCCCATTTCCCATAGATAAAATGTATAATCCTCAGTCTGAAATTGAGGGAACATCATTAGCTGATACCACCAACTGCGATTGTCGACTTCTAGCTCTTGCGCCAGCGTTTACCCATGTCTTCCACTTGACCAGCCTCCTCAGTGTCCCCTAGGTGAATGGTGGTCTATTCTGTTGTGCAGTTATTTTTACTGTGGGTTGTCTTCTTCCTTCTCTGTACACCCGTGCTTCAAGATACAGCTCAGGTCTCTTTTACGAGGCTTTCTTTGCAAATCTATATGGATATGCTTGTGTGATGATTTCTTCACAAATTTCATATGTGCCACCCATTTTGCTCATAAATAAATGTTGCCTTGAATTAAAAACATGATTGTTTTTTCTCTTCATCTAGATTGTAAGCTCTTTGAGACCAGTGACCATGCTATACGATGATTTTTCATCTATGTTAGTGTCTGGCATATGGCCATACACATACTTGGTATAGAGTGAGGTTTCTCAATCTGGCACCATCACTTTTTGGCTGGATAATTTGTTTTTGTGGGGGTTATCTGTTTTTGTGGGTGTTGTAGGATGTTTAGCAGCATCCCTATAATCTACCCACTAGATACAATAGCACCCTCTGCCCAGTGTGACAACCAGAAATGTCTCCATTTATGCCAGGTGTCCCACAGGGGGCAAAAATACCCCCAGCTGAGAATCACTGGTATAGCGTAAGTGGAATAAGTTCTAACCATTATCTTGGCAGGAATTGAAGACTGTGAAAAGATGTGAGTGATGATTTACAGTATTTGGGGTCTTGAGTGAAGACAAACTCAGTTGATGGAAGATAGTCAATGTGAAATAGAACTTTCCATTTGCTGCGATCGGCCATAGAAAGGCCATTATAGATTGATGAGCAATTTTGATGCACCTCAAGTTTGAGAAAGAGAAAGATGGTGGAAGTATTCTTAAGTTGAAGTTCCAAAAATATTGAGTTTTCATTTAGAACCATTTCATACTTAGAAATACTATTTCCAATAAAATAAATATTTTATTATTTAATTGGAAGTTTGAGGTTTATACATAACCAGTATCTTTGGGTTAAGAACTACTTTTTGAAGTGTATTTGAAAGAATGAGTTTGAAATTATGTGTGGATTATTGTAAAGTTGTAACTATTGACAAACATCAGTTGTGTTTATGCATAGTTTTTCCTTTTTTGAGTATTGTCGTGAAGTTTAGCAAATTTTCCAGCCCCAAGTGACACATACACACACACACACACACACACACACACACACAATGTGTGTGTGAGAGTGTGTAGTCTACACTGTGTTTACCACTCAGGACACAGTGATTTTGTATATTTCTGCTACTCTGTTAAGTTCTTAGTTTTTCTTTTATTATCAGACTAGGACACGACATAGACACTATGTGGTTGATGTGCTGCTGACCTGGGAATAACGCATGATATCCTCTTTCCACAGCTGTGTGCCGGCCACAGTGCAAACATGGGGAATGTATCGGACCAGACAAGTGCAGGTGTCATCCTGGATACGCCGGGAAGACCTGCAGTCAAGGTAGGGGACGGGGTGACACCAGGGAACCGTCATGAGCCCCTTTTCCTGCCTGACAGGCAAACCACTTTCCCATGACTATTGTTCCCAAATATGTGAGCTGCCATTTTGCTGAAAGATAAAAATATAATTATGGTAAATCTTCTAAAATTCATTTCATCAGAGGACGAAAGAGTTTCATCCTCTTTTTCGTACTCACTCCTAATAATTAAAGTGTATTTGAAGAAGAGAAGCACAGCATCAGTCACGTTGAGGCCTTATGTTCTGCTGCTTCTCGTTCTTCCCTGTCTAGTTGGGAAGCCTTGGCGGATTGTGAGCCTCCTTGGACCCCAGTTAGATGGAAGCACTTTAATACTCAGTCAGGTGGGAAGTTTGACTTGGAATTTTGAGGTCCCTTCAAATGCTGAGCCCTTCAATTTGTGATTAAATTCCCTTCAACTATTGACCAGTTTGCAATGTTCCTCCGAGAAATAAAGATTCTGATTAACTTAGCAGCCTATTTTTTTTAACTGGCATCAGCTGCTTATCAAAGCAAACATTCAGCACTCCCAGTGCCCGGGTATTTTACGTAGATTGTCTGTTTTCATCATTACGACATTAGGAGGTAGAGTGTTAGTCATTATAATTAAGCTATAAATAATAACGTATTACATTTTTCATTTGAAGAGGTAACAGGGATCTTAGGTGTCTTGTCCAGTTTCACAGAATTAGTTGGAAAAAGACCTAGTATGTCAATGGAGGGATTGTCTATATAATTCATGTTCTTTCTACCCATTTAGTTTAGGATGAAGAAAACATCATTGGAAATGTGATCCTCTGACTCATGCTAACAAGCCTGGCAGGGCTTGTCTTTTTCATTAATTTCAAGCAAAAACTTTCCACCATTACATGTGAAAAAGAAAAAACCAGAATAAAGACAAGCTAGGGTTAGATTTCACGAGAAAGACATGAGGATAAAAGAGTCAATTTTTTACTTATTTTTTAAATACTCCCTATCATTTTAAACGTCAAATGACACAGTTATGTGGGGTCTCACTGCCCCATAGATACTTGACCGCATCTGATACAGAAATACTGTTGCTGAGATACTCTTGTTCTTCAATATCTGGTCCTCCTTGAGGTGTTTCATGTAAACTCGTGATTTATAGGCAGTTTTCACAACAGTCCAGAACACCGATGTTTGAAAGTACCTGTGATTGTTCCCAGACTCTCAGGTGAAATCCATGCCAGTAAAATGGGGCGTGTCCCATGATAGGATAAGCTGTTACTCTCAAGTCTGTTCTATGTTGTCTGCTGCTTGATTGATAACTGATTTTTCCCAGTACTTCTTTTCTATCTTATAATTTTTTTTTTGACTTGGAATTTACTAACATACCTGGGTAGTGTTTTTGAAATAAGTGGGTTCTTATTATCTCAGTTTACCTTTTTAAAAATCCATCTGATTTTCCTTCTCTAGTCCAAGTTCACAAGTAGTGGCATGTTTGGTTCTGATTATTGAGTTATCAGTGTCGATCTTAGAGTCCCAAACGGTTCTTTCTTAAAGTGTGAACATAAGCCATCAGAGATTTCATTAGTATGTCAGCACCATAAAACTTTGTTGTCCTGATGCCAAGAATTTATACAAAGAAGATCATTAAAAGAAGCTACTGTTGAGATTGCAGAGAGGTTCATTGAAGCTTATTTGCAGCAGCTATGTCAACTTTAATGTGCTTCAAAGACACTCAAGACATACCTGTTTCTCTGGAGAAAAATGGAAATGTACTGAGTTGAAGTCGTGCTTCCTAAAACTGTATTCCTTAGGGGGAAGACGATTTCATTAGTAGCAAAATGGGATTTCACATCTGCAAAACCAGTGCTGACACTGATAATGTGATGGCAAGTCCCATCTTGAATACAGAACTCCAGCTTACAGTAAACCTATGTGTTTTAACCATCTCTGCTTCTCTTACCAAAAAAACCAGGTGTGGCAACTTCCTGATGGAAAGGTTTATGTTCTTTGAGAGCAGGGACCCTTTGTGGTGTCTCTCTGATTGCTGGGTTCCTGAAGACTGTTATTAAGATGACTTGCACATGATATGTGCACAATTAATATTTGTTAAGTGAATGGCTGTTTTGTGTAATGGTTCTTGGTCCCAAACGCCATCGGGACTTGAAGGTGTCTGTGACTTGTCTGATGCAGCACCGTAGACTGTGTCTGAGTCCTGGCTAAGAGCCCGTCAGGGTGAGAGGCTCCAGGAGCGAGCTGGGTAAGTGGGAGAGCTGGTGAGAGACCCCCGAAACGTATTTAGAGCAAATTATCTATAGCTGCTACATAGCAAATTAACTGAGACTGTTTTTACCTGGACCATACATTTTAATAAAGTGGAAAACACACCTCAGAGATATGGGAAATAAAACAGGTTTCTTTTTTGTTGAGAAAAAATGTCAAGAAGAGGTGTATTTGAAATATTTTCACAGAGCTGGAGATTAGCTTTTGGTATAAGTAGGTTTTGGTATAAGGCAAGTATCTACTAAAAATTTTATTGCGAGGTGTGACTTTAAGAAATCACCCCGGAGACATGCTTGGCTGAGTGAGCAGCGTGAGAGTGACAGCACTTCACAGTGCTTTTCACTGCCCGGGAGAGGCCGGAACCTGGGGGCAAGGCTGCTTCGGGCCTGGCTGAATTGAACAGCCCTGGCTCAAGATTAGTGTGGCTCTGCCAGTGGTGGCTTGCTGTTCCTCTGAGTCATTTTCTGGATTTGCTATGGCTGGGTCACGTATGAAAGCACGGGCGTGGACTGCTCCTCACGTGTTCCGTGAGGCGCACGGGCCCTTCTGCAGCAGGCAACATTCTAACCCAAACTCGGGCAGGAGTTGCTTTGTCCACTTTACTTTCTCTGATCATTTTATTCACACATTTTCCCCCTCCTTAGTCTCTGTACCCATACAAATCCCCTTTCCCCTCAGCCAGAAAAGGATATTATTATAGATAATAATCTTTTCATAACTTTCCCTTTAGGAAATGATTTTTAGCATGTAATCAATTATATCATTGCATCTTTTTAGGAGTGAAAGATATTCTTTTGAATTCAGTGTGCTTTGTAATAATTTCAGAAGAAACAATTTATAAGTATCAATTACTAATGTTTTGACATGGTTAATATTTCATATGTTGAATTCCTTGTCCCAAGAAGAGAACAGGTGTCCTGCAGCACAGAACCAGATAGTGGGCTCTGCTGGACTAGTTAAGTCTGGAAGTTGAGTGCCTCCCCTGGCACGGGGGTCTCAGTGCTTTATCATAATATTAAAGTAGCTTCTTACAACCTCGCTTTTAGAAAGATGCAAGTCGGAAGTTTAGCTGGCCATGAATACGGGATAGCTTAAAACATGATGTGATGGCCCTTCTGACTCTTTACTTTGAGTCTCACCCACCTTAGAATATTTGATGAGCTTATGATGGCAACAGTTACCATTTTTGGCAGAAAGCTTCTTTTGTATATTTTAATTAAATGTGACCTAAATGTAACGTAACTTCTTACATTTGTATGAAAATATTGATGATCTGGCGTGCTATTTATTTAAATAAGGTCTTTATGCAAATCATAAATTTGTGCATAATTTTGGAGTGCTTTAAACTATTGTACAATGTAATAATATAGGAAAAGTCTTAATTTGGTCATTGAAGACCTCAGTGTCCCTAAACAGCAGATTTATTGCAATCAATATTTATATAATCTGTTTTTTTGAGTTTTCTTTCTTTGTTGATGACTAAAATCATGCTTTCAAAAATGACCATCTCTTTTTTGGCGGTTTTTTAAAAAAATTGGTGTGAGCATGGTGGATTGTTAATTTATAATGTGTGTGTGTTCTTCGGAAGAAAGATGGCAGTGATAAATTCTAAGGAAAATAGAAATTAAAATAAAAAAGAGAAACTGTAAGAATTAGAAACTATTTTGTAAAGTATCTAAGGCATTCTCTTTGAACTCCACCAACTTTATGTAATTGTTTAATATATACTTATAAAGATGTTTAGGGCTAATAACGACATCAGTTCAAAGTTGACTCTTGTTACCTTCTCCCTGGTGTGAAGACCAGCACTTCCGCCCAACTCCTCTCGACCGCGGCAGTGAACAGCCTCTTTCCCACCCCCCGGAGCATCCAGCCATGAGTTTGCCTTCAAGGGGTGAGCGTGCATTGTCTCAGGTGGTCTGCTCCTCCCACGTGCACGGCTTCCTGCAGTTGTGTCACTTCTTGCAAACGTTCCAAAGGCCCGCCCGGGAGCTGCCTCCAGCACCCTGGGGTGTGAAGCGGCAGCCGGCGTTGTTACCTGGCGCTGACTCTCTGCTCTGAAAGCCTGGAGCCTCCACTGTCCTGTCACTGCACCCAGTCTCATTGCCTTTCTTCCTCTTTCCTGGGCTTCAGATGTTTTCTAAAAATCAGATCACAAAATAACCTTTGTTTTCATACATAAGGGAAGTCAGGAATTCCAAACAACTGAGATTGGGGTTTTCACAGCTTTCGCTCAGTGGATTTTAGAAGTGCTCAGTCATCTTCACCACCACATTTGGGGTGTAGAGTTTTAGGTTACCTGGAAATCAAACCACACCTTCGCTTCCTTCTTTGGGTGTACATTTTGTAATATGAGAAAGCCTGCGTCCAGGTTCCAGCACGGAGCAGCTGTGTGACTGTGCGCAGGTCATTTAATGCGTCTGGGTATTAGCAAACCGGTTAGTGGCAGGGTCGCCTGCAGGGCTGCTGTGAGAGCAGAAACACCAAAGATGTTATTGTCTTCATTGTGCTGCAAAGTTTTGTAGAAAAGTTAGGTGGCAGCATGATTTTACAGTCCTTCCTCTAAAAGACTTTATCCCTTACCCACTCAGAGATTTAGGAACTTAGGATAACTAAATTAAAGTTATTTAAATTATTAGTCTCTCTGCTGATAGAGAACGTCATGCATTTGTGTATTTTCTGCACCAAGAAGTAGGGCCGTGGGATTGATTTCAGAATCATTGATCATTTAAGGAATACAGGTTGTAGCAGTTGACGTATTGACATCCGTTTGCCTCTGACCTCCACTTTAGTCAGATATGTAAAAGCTTAGACTTCTGAGACATGGCCCAGTTTAAGCCTCAACGGAAAGAAAAAGTCCAAATGCATTAAATGGATGAAAGATTATTTTCCTTACAAGTCCATTTGGTTATCTTATTCAATGAATCTCTTCCAGATTTTCAAGCTACTTTCAGTGTCTGCATGCTAATAAAATTTCTGATTCTTTCTCTCTTGAAGTGTAATTATAATGCTATGCAGCTTGCATTTTTGTTCTGGACTAGCTCCTTTCCCACCCCCTCCCCCCACCCAAGCTCCTGAATCCACCAACCTGCTTAAATATACTCCTGACTATAATTGATGCACTTTAAGAATTGTATACATAGTAAGTTGTTTAATTGTAAAGTTCTGTCCTTTGATGTCGTAAGATAGGTATATGATAGATTTCATTACGTTTTTTATTATAGATTTTCCTTATAATTTATATTACATTATAAACGTCTAACAAAAGAGCAAGATTTAAGTAAATTTAAAATAAAAACAGTGAATTTTTCTTTCTAGGTTCTTTCATCAACTTTTAAGATTGATTTGAGAAAGTGCCATCAAGGAATTTTCATGACCTTTATATTCTGCTTATTACCCTAGGAGCACTTACTATAAATTGGGGGTGTCATTTTTGAATTTCTGGCGTAATTTGGTGGTAACACAAGCATTACTAGGTCTGTGGTCCAAAAGGTTTTGGAAGCAGCTGGCATTAACTCAATTCTATAAGGCAGTGGGTCAATAAGAAAACAAGGTAATGATCATAGACTAGAAACTCGGAAGAAAATTGGGGAAAAAGAAGTTCATTACCAGGACACCAGATGCCTTTAATCTTTGGAAGCTCCTTGCTTGAGCAAAAGTCTGATGTTTGATAAATATTGATAATCATGGGTTATTGTGGAATCCTGTTTCTGCAGTGGTTTTTGTGAGGGTCGGTGTGAAGCTTTTAGGAGACACCTGCCTGTGACAGATGGGGCAATGATGGCTCTCGCTGGAGACATCGGCACCAGCCAGATTCCTTTTCTGTATCATTTCTTATAGTGATTCCCAGGGATTTTTTTGAATTACGATGTTGTATTGATTTTTCATTTTCTTTCAATTTCACGACTGTTAACCCCAAAGTGCCTTTTCCTATGGGAAGGGAGACATAAATTTGGATTGAACATTAGCGGCAGCCCCGGTCTGGATCATGAAGATGCTCACAGCAATCCTCAGGGGAGGGACCCTTTATGGCCAAGACCGAGGTGCTTCAACTGGGCTCAGCTTCAGTCCATGGAGAGTGTCTGGAGAAATTTCCAGGAGCATAAATACTCCTAGTATACAAGCTGCCTGGAGCTGTAAACATCTGACCAGTTCCCATGAGGAAACCTGCAGAATTTTCTGTGGCTCTTTAAAAATAAACCTAAGAGTTCTTAATTGACACATTTTATATCCATCAATATCCTTCCCTTGAGATACAGAATTCAGTCTTACTCTGTTGTTTGGTCGTTCTGTTCTATTTTTGCTTAGTGCAGAAAAATATTTAAAACACAAAGCCTTTCTCTAACAGTGTACTCAGATTTAAATACTATTTACTATAATATCAATCAGGGATTTATCAAAGCCAGGTGTGAATCTGTAGGGACGTGTTAGAAATAACTCACTCTTCTTAGAACATGAGAAATAATTCCCTGACTCTTAATTTGTAATAAATATTGAAATACAAGGTAGAAGAAGATGAGAAGTGGAGTGAATTTTTTTGTCTTTCCTCCTTGATTTAAAATTTTTACTTTGTTTAACAGAGGGAGAAATAAAATTTTTGTTGATGCTATAATCTACAAAGCACCTTATTTGAGGGAATTTTTTTTGAAATGTTTTAAAATGCGATTCTGTTTGAATACCCTTGACGGGCAAGAGACAATAAAGTAGAAAATTGAAGAAAGCGTAGGAGATGACAAAGGTATCTGGTTTATTTACTTAACTCTCCCAGGCTTTGCCCAGCTGGGGATCTGCTTACGGTGTGTTAAGGTTAGAAAAAGACCATGTTGGAAAGTCAGTAAAATATGAAAAAAATTTTAGATGGAATAGTTATTTGGTGGTTTTAAAAAATAATGTAACTTGGTGGTTTAATTAAGTGAAATACATATCTAATCAACAAGCAGGTCAGATTTAAATTTGATTAGATTAAAAAACAGCTTGCAACTAGTTACATTTCTGATTTGACGACATGGACTAATAGATAATTAAATTATGCTAATCAGGTGCTTATGTTGGCAGTTCCAGACAAAATTGACATGAGGTCGTGTTTCTCTTTTATGAAGTCTGTCTTTCGGGCATTTTGCTATTTCAGTGTTCATTTGTCATTATGAATTTTATGTTCACTCGAGGCAGTGTTCAACTTGGGCTGGGAAATTCTTATCGTGTGAAGTTCACTAATTCATTTCATATTGATATTTAAACCAAAAACCTAAAATGCATAATGATAGTCCATTATGTATTGTCGATTAGTATTTCCAAATGCCCTTAACTTCTTTTTTTGTTTACTTTGTGACTTGAATGCACAAACTGAAGTTTCTTCTTTAATCTGAGCTCAGTATAGAATCGGTAAGATTGGCTGAGAAAAACCATGACAGTAATTCATGTAGCTTTCCTTGGGAAGGTCAAAGCTGTCTAATGCGTTGAAGTCCATATACTTCTTGTAAACTAAAGTGGGCTCACACGGTGTCTTCTTGAAGCAGAGGCAGGAAGACATTGAAAGTGTCCCTCCCGTAGTCAGGAGAGAATTGAGTGGTAGACCCCCGATGTTTGGAGGATACTGGGGTCAGGAGGTGACAGAGCACCTTCACCCTGAGGAGGTGAGTGTGCTGCTGTTTCTAGGGGTGATAAGGGGGCCACATGTCTGTGAGGAGGCTCTTCTAACTGTCCTCTGTGGACAGAGATCACGTGTACTGTGTAATGTAAGCTCCAGAAATTCACAGGCCTCTCACTGTCGGAGGCCACCTCTGAGAGAGAATGCTTGGTCGCCCCAGGTGTGCCCAGTGTTGAAATTGCACAGGCTCTGCCTCTTACGTAAATGACCGGTTACTGTAACTCGACCTCCTTTCTCCTTCCACAGAGATGTATCTTAAGTGGTTTACATTCTGCTGAGGTTTTGTCCTTTTTCTGCCCCAACCCCGTTCTTTCAGATCTCAACGAGTGTGGCCTGAAGCCGAGGCCCTGCAAACACAGGTGCATGAACACCTACGGCAGCTACAAGTGCTACTGTCTCAGCGGGTACATGCTGATGCCAGACGGCTCCTGCTCAAGTACGTCAAGCGTCCCGACTGTTTCCTAAGTGCTCTGGGCTCGACTGCGTGCTGTGCTCTGGCCGTGTGTGGAGGTGGCCTCCCGGACCCTCCTAAACAGGGTGTGAGCCTGTGTCTCTGTGTGTGCCTCAGGAATTGAGACTCAAAAGAAGAGTTGCCCATTTTAGATGTCTAGCATTCTTTTACCATGGGTGCCCATGTTAAATTGATTTGGAAATGGTATTTAGAACAAGAATCATAAAATTAAGTGTGTTTTTTAATGTTTTTCCCAGCACATTTTTCCCTGTCTTCTATCTGGCGGTAGAACTCTTATTCCGTCTAGGAAAGGAACACGAGTGACTGTTTGAGGACAGTGTGCTGTCCATAAGGATGGACACTAAACTATTTGCTGGCAGAGAATCCCTCAAGTCTGGGGATTGATTATAAACCATTCACAAGTACCTTCTCATTTCATTTGTACCTTTCTTTATAATTGCCTAAACACTAAATTATGTCTTTTCTAAAAAAAAAAAAACCTACTTCAAATGGAGAAATAAATGATTATAATAATAAAAAAGTAGATTTTGTGTGTGTCTTTGTAAGAAAGAAAGGTATGGAAATGTGTGGAGTTCCCTGCGAGCATTTGGATGTGTTTATAAGATGGACCTAAGATTCTCTGCAGGCTGAACATTGAACTGAGGTTGTGTTTATATGATACTCAACAATTGATGACTTGACTTTTATTTTTACTGAGTTATCAGTTAAATTAGTTAATTATCTGTTGTCTCTATCTGGGTTGCATTTTATAAAACAAAAAAGGTTAGCTCATTTTATTTTGCATTGCATATTTAGCATGGTACTTTTTGGGATGAGGTGAGTCCATGTTTAATAACGTGGCAGTGATGCTGGAACCTGGGACTCGTACGGGTCAGCGGGCGGCCTCCTGCTGTCTGGGGAAACTTCAGGGCACTTGAGACAGTCACTTGGATGTTTTAGTTGAGACCAGCAGTGAGCATGAGTGATCTGGAAAAATACCTCAAATCTCCACTCTCCTTGGCCACTGGAAAAATTTCTAGATAATCAATGTGAGATAAAGTTTTACGTTTGTCTTGTAATTCTTCAAATGCATTAAAGATCTTCCACAGATGGTAATGGAGGCGGTTCACTTCTTCATCACCCTGGGGAGGAAGGTTGTCCTGTCCCTCCCACATTTTTGACTTTCATCAGGTTGTTGGATAATTGAGGCCTGTTCGTCTTCATTGCTGGTTCAGTGTCACTGATTTCAGGACAGGTGAAAACACCTTTATTTCAGTGACAGACTGTTCCCTGCCCCCCTGAGTCACACAGTCCCACTCTCCGCAGGTGCCCTGACGTGCTCCATGGCAAACTGCCAGTATGGCTGTGACGTGGTGAAAGGACAGACACGGTGCCAGTGTCCCTCCCCTGGCCTGCAGCTGGCTCCCGACGGGAGGACCTGTGTGGGTGAGTGGGGAGACAGCGTCTCCATCAGCAGCCTCTCCGGGTGCAGGAGGAGGGAGAGAGGCGAGGGGAGCGGGAGAGGCGGTCCTCGTCGCGTAGCACCTTCCCTTTGGAGGAGCCGGGATGTCGGGGAGAGGACCGCTCTCCGCGAGCCCACCACGCAGACCCCGTTTCCCTGGAAACGAGGGCCGGAGCAGCCTCGGGCGGGCCGCACGGCCCAAGGCCCCGAGGCGCCCGGGAGCGCCGCGTCCAGGGAAGCGAGGGGAGCCCGTGTTTCCAGAAGGGAAGGGGCAGGGCGCCAGGACGCCCACCAGCGGAGGCGGGCGGCGTGCGTGCTGCCGAGGGGCCGGCCTGTCTGCCCGTGGGTCAGGGAGGGTTGTGGGGGAGCGTCCGGCCTGGGTTTCGGCCCGGCTCGCCACGTCCGCGATGCGGAACCCGAGGCAGAGACTGCCCCCCTCGGAGCCTGGCCTCCTGGCCCCGCCGTGAGGACGGCCGGGTGGCAGCGCGTCCGCAGGGGCTGGAGCCGCCGGTGGACGGGCTTTCCGGGGCGCGGGAGGCTGGCCGCGCGCTGGCCGGGCTCCGCGCTCGCTGCGGGGTTCACACTGACCGGCGGAGCAGACAGGACTTCCATCCTCAGAGGCTGATAGACCAAGGGGGGAGACAGAAAAGAAACAAGTATCCAATAAAATTACAGACAACACTCAGTCTTAACGGGGGACCTGAGAGAGGGGAACAGAAAGGGTCTATTTCAAAGAATAAGGGTCTAGAGTAAGACCTGCCTGTGGGCCTGTGAAGCCTCAGCCCAGCAGGTGGGATCTTGCAGGGCTGCGGGAAGGAGAGCTTGGCGTTAGATGATTTGAAGGAAGGAAGGCCATGAGACTTAAGTACAGAGTGTGGGGATGAGGGGCAGTGGCTGCAGATACAACCAGTGAGGAAGGTGAGGGCCATTTATTGCAGGACCAGGTGACGAATGAGGATTTAATTCAGAAAGCAAATGGAAACAGTTGAAGAGTTTAAAGCATAGTCATAATCCGGCCTCATGTAATAAAGTCATTTTGACAGTCAAGGAACGCTTTGGAGGGGGTAGGATTGGCAGGGAAGATGGGTTTGGAGGCTCTGGTAACAGTCTAACCTGGGAGGTGACGGCTTGGACCTGGGTAGTGGCAGTGGGTGAAGAGCAGAGGAGATGAGCTCGAAGAATTTTTCAGAGGTAGGATTAACTGGGCTTGGTGATTTGGGGGTTATGGGAAGAGGGTTGTCAAGGATGACTCATGTTTGGGTAGAAACAGGTACAGTGTATGCTGAGATACTGTGCAAGAGACGGGCAGCTCGGGTTAGACGAGCTGGAATCTGGAGATGTGGAATTGATGTTGCCTGTGGGGGCAACCAGCAGGATAACATTTATGATGGGCCACTGTGTGCCAGGCAACTGTTCGCAGTCAGTTACTTATTTTAAAATCCGCTCCATCTGAACGTGCTGTTGCTCTTCCTAAGATGCAGTTGACTTGTGTTCCTAGATGTTGACGAATGTGCCACTGGGAGAGCCTCCTGCCCTCGATTCAGGCAGTGTGTCAATACTTTTGGGAGTTACGTCTGCAAGTGTCATAAAGGCTTCGACCTCATGTACATTGGAGGCAAATACCAGTGTCACGGTAACGGAACCCCACCACTGCTTTGTGTTGTTTCTTCCTGTGGCGCAGAAAGGTCCCTTAACTGGTGATGAGCGGGACGTCGGGGGCAGGGTGGGTACCGGCGTTAAACTAAACACACAGAAGTCCAGGTCAAGCACGGGTAGTTCTGGATGCAAATGTACTTGATTGCTTCTATTTATCTGCCAATTTTACACGGACCTTCACATTGCCAAAAAAAATGTTTTTGCAACTGTGTATGTTTTTGTGTCGTCATGTTTCTCTTCCCTGTAAGCCTCCTCTCTTCCTGCTTCCCGTGCAGACATCGACGAGTGCTCCCTCGGTCAGCACCAGTGCAGTGGCTTTGCTCGATGCTACAACATACACGGCTCCTACAAGTGCAAATGTAAAGATGGGTACCAGGGCGACGGACGGAGTTGCGTGTGTGAGTAATGCTGTCTCCAGCTCTGAACGCCAGCAGGAAATTCAGGATTAGGCCAAGGCTGTTACTAGGGAAGATAAGGAATAAGATTAATGATCAAAGAAGTACAATTTTCATAGCTAGTCATGTTAGTCTGTGCTTTCCACAAACAGTAACATCACTTGCTCAGGTATTTTTAAAAACAGAAGACTCAGTAATACATTCTAGTCTTGAAGTCATTCAGTTCCTTGACTAAAATCTCTCAGCCGCTTTCCTTTAGCTGGCAAGAAATGATAGAGCCCTCCCTGAGAATTTGATTTTGGTAAAATCACAAATGAATGTTTGTCATTAGCATTAGATTATGATGGTGGGATAATCTGAATATATTCTACATTTTTCATTCCTCTGTTTTATGCCTTCTAGTTCTACTACTAAAAAATCATCCCTGGGGCTGGCCCCGTGGCCTAGTGGTTAAGTTCGGTGCACTCCATTTTGGCAGCCTGGGTTCAGTTCCTGGGTACAGACTTGTCCACTTGTCGGTGGCCATGCTGTGTCAGTGACCCACATACAAAATAGAGGAAGATTGGCACGGATGTTAGCTCAGGGCCAATCTTCCTCAGCAAAAAAAAAAAAAAAAAGTCATTCCCATAGTTATTTTCCCTACATTCAGAACTGCTTTGCTTTTTAAATTTTTATAAGCTCTGTTTGGAGTATGGCCATGTTAGTAGAGAAACATGAAAAAAATACCCTGATGAAAGTTTCACAAACCAAAGGCCATAATGTAGCATCCATTTAATGTAACAGTAGACAACTTTTCACGTTTCTGGAGTAAAATATTTATTGAAAATCATGGGGATTAGAGGATTTTGAAGGGTCATGTAGCAATGCTCCCAGTGTGCAGAACGTCGCTCCAGGAAGATCAGTGTTAATTCCTTTTGGTGAAGATAATCAAGGAAAAAGCTTCCATAGAGGATCTTCTGACCTCTGAAATTTTTTTTACAAAAGCAACTGTATAAATTAGTAAGAGGGAAAACCAACTATAAAACAACATGTAGAACATTTAATAAAAATGTTTTTGTGTGAGTCAAATTCATATAAAGTGTGAAGAGAAAAGTATCAGTCTTGAGACAATTCTAAACATGATTTTATAATATACATGTACCATAGGGACACTTAACATAGACGCTAAATATACATTCCTCATATTTTAAATAACTTAGAATGTCTCTGCATTTTAAAAATTTTGTTAACTGTTTCCACTTTACAAATACTTAAAACATTTTGTGTTTCAAATAACACGTATTCACCGCAGAAACACCATTATAATTTTTGCATTCATCCACAGGACGGATATATGTGTATGTGAGTATATATTTATATATTTATATATCACATACACAAACACATATTTGTTATTTGGAAAATGGTGTGACTGGCAGTAGGTGGATATTCTAAATGTGAAAAGTAAGCCTCGTTGGCATGAGAGATTTTAATGTGTTTGTTTTTTAAAATTTGATGTTTTACTTTTAGGGGGAGGTGGTTACATACTAATTTAGATCTTTTGACCCTTAGATATTCCGAAAGTCATGATTGAACCTTCAGGCCCCAATCATGTACCAGAAGGAAATGGTACCATCTCCAAGGGTGACGGGGGGCACGGTAATTGGATTCCTGATATTGGCAGTACGAGGCGGCCTCTGAAGACACCGTATGTTCCTCCTGTCGTTACCAGCAGGCCCACTGCTGAGCCAACGACCAGACCTACCCCAAAGCCAACACCACAGCCTACCCCACCCCCACCCACAGCACCCAGAACACCTCCCCCCTCAACAACTCCAGAAAGACCAACCACCGGCCTGACAACTGTGGCACCAGCTGCCACTACATCTCCGAGACGAATTACAGTTGACAACAGGATACAGACAGATCCTCAGAAACCCAGAGGAGATGTGTTCAGTAAGTCGTATAGATGTTAGCATGTCGTTTGTGAGGGTTGTTCCCCCAATTTTATTGAGATATAATGGACATACAGCACTGTATGAGTTGAAGGAGTACAGCATAGTGGTTTGACTTGTATATATTGTGAAATGATTACCACAGTAACTTTAGTTAACGTCCATCCTCTCATATAGATACAAAATAAAAGAAAAAGAAAAAAAATATTTTTTTCCTTGTGATGAGAACTCTGAGGATTTCCTCTCTTAACTTGCATGTAAATCATAAAGTAGAGTTAGCTACAGTCATCATGCTGCACGTTACATCCCTGGTACTTACTCACCTTATAACTGGGAGTTTGTACCTTTTGACCCCCTTCTCCAGTCCCCCCCCCCGCCCTTGCCTCTGGTGACCACAAACCTGATCTCTTTTCTATGAGTTTGTTTGTTGTTTTTCAGATTCTACATATAAGTAAGGTTATACAGTATTTGTCTTCCTCTATTATTTCACTTAACATAATGCCCTCAAGGTCCATCCGTGTTGTCTCAAATGGCAGGATTTCCTTATTTTTTATGGCTGAATAATATTCCATTGTGTGTGTGTGTATATATATATATATATACACATACATACACCACAACTTTTTTATCCATTCATCCATCAGTGAACACAGGTTGTTTCCATGTCTTGGCTATTGTAAATAATGCTGCAGTGAACATGAGAATGCAGATATCTCTTCATCAGTTTCTTAATTTCCTTTGGATATATTCCCAGAAGTGGGATTGCTGGATCATATGGTAGTTCTATTTTTAATTTTTTGAGGAAATTAAAAAATTAAATTTCCTCAAAATTTATAGTTTCCCATAATGGATGCACCAATTTACATTCCCACCAAGAGTGCACAAGGGTTCCCTTTTTTCCACATCCTCACCAACACTTATAATTTCTTGTCTTTTTGATGATAGCCATTATGACAGGTGTGAGGTGATATCTCATTGTGGTTTTATTTGCATTTCCATGATGATTAGTGATGTTGAGCATCTTTTCATGTACCTGTTGGCCATTTGAATATCTTATTTGGACAAATATCTATTCAGTTTCTCTGCCCATTTTTTAATGGGATTATTTTTTTTGCTTTTTATTTGAGTTGTATGAGTTCCCTGTATATTTTAGATATTAATTTCTTGTCAGGTATATGGTTTGCAAGGTTTTTTTCCCATCTATAGGTTGTCTTTTCACTTTGTTCATCGTCTCTTTTGCTCTGTAGAAGCTTTTTAGTTTGATGTAGTCCCACTTGTTTATTTTTTATTTTGTTGTTTGTGCTTTAAGTGTCATATCCAAAAAATCATTGCCAAGATCCATGTCAAGGAGATTTTTTCCTATGTTTTCTTTTAGGAGTTTTATGGTTTCCAGTCTTATATTTAAGCCTTTAATCCATTTCAAGTTAATTTTTCTAAGTGGTGTAAGATTTACATGTGCGTATCCAATTATCCCAGCACCACTTATTGAAGAGACTGACTTTTCTCCATTGAGTCTTGTTGGCTCTCTTCTCAAGTGTTAGTCGACTGTATAGGAATGGGTTTATTTCTGGGCTCCCTGTTCTGTTCCATCCGTCTATATGTCTATTTCTATGCCAGTATCGTACTGTTTTGATGACTGTAGCTTTATAGTATAGCTTGAAATCAGGAAGTGTGACGTCTCCTGCTTGGTTTCTTTCTCAGGATTGCTTTGGCTATTCAGGTCTTACCTGTTAGCCCATTTTAATAAGCTCGTTATGATGACATTTCGACCACAGGCCATACCTTGAATAAGAATCAAATTCTTTTAAAAAGAATTAGCTGCACAAGGTGTAAGTCATATATCCCCATTGTTAGATATTATAAAGAGCTATGTAAAAGTCAGTCAGTTGGGCAGTTAAAGATGTGTGTAGAAATGGAAGGAATACCATAAACTCGTATAGTAGATCACAGCTCCTATCCAGTGCGGGAATTCTAACACACTCCGATTTACTTGAGAACTCTCAGAGATGGGGACCTTAGTACATCACATGCCATTTAACTTTCAATCTAAGTGTCCATTCAGTCAGTCAGTGAACATTTCTGAGTGTCTTCAGAGTGCCAGGCCCTGATGAGGCCTTGCGCTTGTTACCCAGACAGAACAGAGAAGGTGACAGTCTGGTGGAGAGGACAGTTGCCCGGAAGGTGACTGTGGTTCTAGGTCAGTGGAAGCATTTGTCTAGGACGTTATGGGAGTAGAGAGAGGCGGAACCTCGTCAGTCTGTGGGCAGGGGGTGCTAAGGGGGGCTTCCTGAGTGAAATGGGGCAGGGGTGAGCAAGGTTCTAGTCGACAGGACAGCCCCACAGAGGCACACAGGCAGGAGGCAGCACAGCCTGTGTGACAAACTGGAGGGTCGAGTCCAGGATTGATGAGAAAACCTGCACAGCTGCCCTCGTGTTTGCTGTGAACTGGTGGTGGGACCTGGGCTGGAGCCAGATCAGATGGCACTCTCCCAGAATCCAGTGGGTGACTGGTGAGGGGGGCCACCAGTGGGGATGGAGGCTACAGGTAAAGACGCAGGTCTTGAAGGAGGAAGAGGTTGTTCCCTAATATTAGGACCAACCAAAATGTGCACTTTTACACTTCTGTCTGACCCTGTACTTATCCACTGGTCGCGTTCCACGCTGCCTGTTCTTAGCAGTCTTTGCGTTCCTGCCTCCTGTCTCCTCTTCTCTTTCAACGTCACTCATTTCTTCTTTTCCTTGTCCCTTTCCCTATGATGGAACTAAACTTTGCTCCTTTTATATTGTACACTTTTGCCATCTTTACCAGGTAAAAAGAATACTAACCTTTGTGATTTTTTAGAAGAGAAAAAGCTTCTTTTTGCTTGTATGTGACTCTCAATTAAATTTTTTCCTCCGGGTCATTGTCCATTTAGAGAGCTTGAGATTCTCTAATTCTGATGTAGTTGTGACTGTGTATGTTTTGGGCAATAAATATAATTTTTAGAGGAATTAGATAGTAGATCTAATAATTCATTTTATATGTGCATATCTCTTATTTTTTGCAAAGCAAACTTTTGTAATGTTTCTCCTCTCTCCCTCTGTCTCCTTTCTCCCTCCCTCCTTCTCTCTGTCTCTCTCTCTTCTGTGGTTTTTTTTTTTTTCCTCCATCTCTTTGTGATCATACAATGGGATTTTTATCCATGGGTGCTTAAGTAAATATTATTTTGCTGCCTTAAGGTAGAGTCATAAAAACTTGGCTATTTAATATAAAAAGACACTCTAACATAGATATCAGCATCTTTCTGAGTCTTTTAGTGTTTTTTCTTTTTAAAATATCTCTCTTCCCATTATTCCTCTCCATACCAAAACACATGTGAATTAAAAATAACATTGATGTTCACCAGTAGAATTTAGCAGGATAAAATTGGGGAAACATGGAGTTCCAATGATATTTGAGAGCACTCCTTCTAAGACAGTGAGACTTAAAGACATGCCCTGGGAGAGCATTACCTTGATCCTGTGCCAGGGCTCTTGCATGCCACAGATAGCATTGCTGCCTCGGACACTCCTGCTGAAGATTAAATTCCACTCCCACTCATCTTCAGCTATGGCTGCCGGTTACTCTTAGCACATATGAGGATATTAAGGACACTGCTTAATTTGCTGTCTTGTGATTGTAGCATATATTCTGAATAAGAGAAGGATTCTAAGTTTTTAATTCAGGACAAATAACTAGTTTTTATTCACTGTGAGAACAGAAAGGAACCTTAGCACTATTTTAGTTCAACACCATTTCTTCATTGAATATTTTCTTCACTTCTGGGGTAATAACTTCTTAAGCCATCCTTATTCTCCACTGGTCAGACAACAGAGTTTGGCTCTTCTCACTTCATGAATTTTCAGATTGGTTGGCAGTCTCCAAATAGCCCCACACTTCAATTGCATTTTTCTTTACATTGGAAGATACATATATTTTTTTAATGGAAGAGGTTGTTAAACAGAGCTTTTCTTTATAATGTGTATGTGTGTATGTCTGTGTTTTATCACCCAGAGGAAAAACTATAAAGATATTCTAAAAGAAAATCAAGGACGAAAAAAAATTATAGCACCAATACACCTCTAGTTCAGCCTTCTCCCCAAACTCTAGACTCCTATATCCCCTGGCTGTTTAACCTCTCCAGCTGGGTGAAAGGAGATGTCTCGGACTCAACATTTCCAATTGTTCCTGACCTTCCCCCAAACACATTCCCCCACAGCCCTTCCCACCCCAGGATACGGCACCTCCATCCTACCAGTTGCTAAACTTGGAGTCATCTTAAGTTACTCTTCTTATCCCCACATCCAGTCCATATGGAAATCCTAGTAGCCCTGCCTTCAAATTATATCTCAAGTGGGGCTGCTGTGCACAGTCTCCGGTGCCACCACCCTGGCCCAAGCCATCCTTCCCCCAGTACAGGTCCCAAATCCCTTATCCAGATGAGTTGTGGAATACAGCATTTTCAGATTTCAGAGAAGTAATAAGGGGCGTATGGTGTATATTACATACATACTGAAGCATGTTAATGTTTCTACAGTGAAACGTGAATATTTATATGAATTTGACTAATAAAGACATTTAGGTTAGGTTAAGTGAAGGTTAGTTTTGCCACCTAGTGAGTTACAGGAACAGCTTTAGGATTGCAGAATTGCGGGGAGGCACCGGACGTGTACTGCTAGCCTTCCAGCCAGTCTCCCTGCCGCCCCCTCGCCACTCTGTGATCTCTTCTCAACCCAGCAGCCAGGGGTCTTTCAGAACTGAAACGAGACGTCGCTGCTCAGAGCTCTGCGTTAGCACCCACTTGCTGCAGGAAGACCCTAAGCCCCCCCGATGTCCTTCAAAGTCCTGGATGGTCTCCACTCCTGGCACTCTGCCCTCATCACGCCACCCCAGTCTCCTCGCTCTTCCTCAGGTTTCTCCCATCGTAGGACTTTGCTCCTACTGTTCCCTCTTCCTGGAACAGTCTTCCCCCAGCTGTTAGC